ATGGATTGAATTAGCGCTCTATGCATGACCTTCACCATGTCTAAAACGTAAATGGCGTTAAAATCCTGTTTCGATTTAAATTTAATGAAGGTAATGAAGGTTTACATGTATCCAATTCATTCTGCAAAAATTCATGTAGTCCACCAATTATTTTGAATCCTCCGCCAAAATGCGACCGGCGATGATTTCCATCTTCATATTATCGATACCTTCAACGAGAACGAACCAGTGGCTCAAGGTATATTTACTGTGGTATTTTTTAGCTCATATTTAAAACGCAAATATACACCTTGTACCAGGGGAATGTTTCAGCCTGTTTCGGGCTGCCAAACCGGTATCTTTTCTTACATGGTGTGGGTGGCCCCGGGATCCCGCAATGGATTTGTATTACTCTCCAGATCTCTGACGAACTATCAAACAGCCGACCAGGTGGCGCTTCTCTTCGCTCAGCACTTCCCCTTAAATTTTGGCCTTGCCAGCCTGTCCAGAAACTCTTCAGCTTCCTCTCTTGTGTGGTATTTTGCCAATCGATATCCTTCGAATGCAACATAGGATATCCAAAAAGCCATACTCCTCAAATTACTCGATGATGTGTAGAAAATATGTAGTTGCTATGTATACAAAAATGGGAATTTGTTCTACCTAATTTGATAAATTCTTTGTGTATATACAATCCAATGAAAATCCAATCTGTAAAGAGGTAAATGATAGAGAATTGAACCATCAATGGGATAAAACTATATGTGTAGTGCTGAGAATCCTAAGTAGCTGGTGATTTTAAATAGAATATCAAATTCGAGGAAAATGATTTGGGACTCGGTATATTTGAGGTATATTTTAAAAATGAGAATGTATATTTCGGTATATCTCGGTAGTGCGGTATCTGCAAGGACAACAAAACAAATTCGGCAGGACATATACAGTTTTTTTTTCCTTTGTGTCTCCCAATTAGTGCAGTCTCGTCCCTATTCCAATTGGAGAGATCCCAGGAGCCGTTAGCGTCCCGATTCCAAAATGCATTGGTGGCGTCCCAGCAATTAGATGGCCCAGCAAATAGCCAGACTGCAGCACACAGCCGAAAATGAACAATTTGGTAAGTGGGTGGCGGTGGCAGTGGCAGTTGCGCTGGTGGTGTGTATGTGTAGGCGTGTCTGTGTTTCATGGGGTTTCATGGTGTGCGGTCTGTGTATCAATTGTTGCAGGAGCACGTTAAGCACTTCTACCCAGAGAACTATAAATTGGATCTATCGGAGACGATGAAGGCGGCACTATCCAAGGGCCCCGGCGTCGGGGGCGTGGCCAGTGGAGCGTCGCACAGCGATATGCTGCCGCAGCCGAATGCCGGACTGCCTGGCGTGGGCTATGTGACCGAGAAGCTCTACATGCTGCTGCAGCTCTACTTGCAGAACAAGGGCTGGAACCCCAGCGCCGAGCTGCTGCAGTGCTTCAGCGATCTGAAGGACAACGCCATGCTGCCCAGTGCCGCCTACCTGCAGTAAGTATAAAAGCGTAGGAGGTAAATCTAAATGTCAAGTTTGTCTCCTTCATCAACAGGGTTCTGGCCAATCGTCTGACGCTGGACTCCCAGGGTCGCCTGATTCTTCGCGACAACGGCAAGATTGTACTGCCGTTTGAGCATTTCGCCAATGCTGTCATGCTGAAGCACATGTCCGGTCCTCACGGTCTTCATCTAAGTGTGGACGCCACAGTGCGGGCTGTCATCGAGTCGTACACGATTGGGCGGGATCAGTTCGGCATGGAGAAGGAGTTCATCATTGAGGTGGTACAGTCCTGCCCCAGTCCGGCCTGCCGCTACTACAAGAACCACATGGGCATCTCGCCCATGCCATTCATGGAGCAGCAGTATCCTGGCGTGAATACGCCCGACTTTTTGCAGCGTCTCTCCCACCTGCCGCCCAGCAGTGCAGCCGGATCCAGTGCCGCGGCTGGGTCTGCCTCCAGCGCTGCCAGCAGCACCAGCTCAAGCAATGTGGAAATTGACTTGTCCAAGTCGACGGGCTCCAAGGTGGCACAGGTGCCAGTGCCGCCGCAACTTCAGCATCTGACCAAGCAGCAGCAGAACAGCATTCAGACGCAACTCTCCCAGATCAGTGCAGCCGCCGCACATCATCAGCAGCAGCAACAGCAGCAACAACAGCAGCAGCAACAGCAGCAACAACAACAGCAGCAACAGCAACAACAGCAGGCCCAGGCTCAGGCCAAGCACCAGCAGCAGCTTACGGCAGCTCTGATACAGCAACAGAATCGTGTGCTTGCCCAGCAGAGCCTCGAGAAGCTAAGCAACTTGAGTCCGCTGGAGAAACAGCGTGTATTTGCTCAGCTGGATCCCAAGCACTTTGATCCGATGGCCGTGGCCGCTGCAGCAGCCAATTTACAGATCCAGGGACTGATGCAATCGCAGGCAGTGGCCGCCGCAGTGGCTGCAAATCAGCAGCCACCTCCAGCCGCCAGCACATCCACGTCCGGGAGTTCTGGTGTCAGTTCGCAGACCCATCACCATCCAATGCCACCGCCATCGCAGTCGCCGCACTCATCTTCATCGTCTTCCTCGCACTCGTCGCTGGATCAGCTCTCACACAAGAATGTAGCTGATTCCTTGCGGTTGGTTTGACATTCATTAGTTTTTTGTTAATGTTAAACGTATTTTATGTTGCAGCTCAAATCTTGATTCTATTGAGTCAAACAAGGATCTTCTGGCGCTGCACAACGGGGCCTGGGCCACCAGCGATGCCAACCGCATGGATCACATGGCCGTTGGCCAGGACAAGATTGTACGCATTTTCTCTGAACTTATGCGGAACATGTCCCGCATGAAGACCTACATACGTCCATCCATGTGCAAGCCCTACGGCAAGCAGAGCGAGAGTCTGCAGAAGAGTAAGTAGCGCGAGAACCGGTTTATTCGTTATTCATTTGACTTCTGATTCGATCTTGCAGCACTCATGGACACCATTCAGATTGTGCAGACGCTGCGCAACTGTTTGCCTGCTCCCCACATACCGGTCTCCTCCTGGAAGAGTGAGAGCGAGGGTAACATGGGTACAGGTGTGGGCGTTGGCGTCGGTGTTGGTGTCGGTGCCGTTCCACAAGGACTAAACCTGAGCGCTGCCTTGGGTCTGCCATCGGGCAGAGTGGACAACATGCACTAGGCGGGGTATGGTAAGAGATATTCTCTAAGATGAAACCCAACAGAATGATATCACACACACACTTTACGCTCAAATTCCTTGCAGAATTTCGAGAATACATAGTATTACGTACATAAACCCATTAATATGATAAGAAGAGATTCACCTTCATAGGCTTGGCTCCAGTTTTCCTTTTAGCAATTATGTGCCATGCTCAACACAAGACTTGATTTCGTTTCAACACTTGACTGACATTTAGATATGTATGTACGAGTATATGTTGTGGCCCCGATCCTGATTGGGCATTATGCACTGTACAAGTGATCACCCCACATAACAGTGGATTGAGCCTTGTAGGGCGCATCGAAACAGCGGTTGGAACCGTTTTTTCTTTATGAATCCATCTCCTTTTATTGACTTGTCTCTCTCTCTGTCTCTGACTCTCTGTACTTCCCGATTTGGCATACAAAATTAACACGCAAAATGGAGAATTAGTTAAAAAATTGGCAAAACGTCTGTGATATTTAAATTATGTTGGCATATGGAAAGCAAAACTAAATTTACATTTATTTTTTTTTATACATTGTGTGCCCTTTGTTGTGACGATTTTACAATTTACTCTGTGCAATACCTACTAAGCATCTATTCCTAACTATTCCTGTGCAATTGACAACTTCTCACCCATATCAAAGCCCCAACTCGAATCTAACATGGCAGCATGCCCGCCACTACATAATACATAATATACTGCAAACGAGTATATAGACGGCATAAGAATTATAATATATTTTGCATTAGAAATACATACATATTTAGGCTACATCTATCACCGGCTCATTGAGTGAGCAAATTGAGAATTGATGAGGCGATTGAGTCTTGAAAGCGATGAGACGAACGGAGTTGTGTTTAAATTTAAGAAGAGAAGCAGAAGAAGATGAAGCAGATGGTTGTATTCCAGAAACACGCGTACGCATAGGCTATTTAAAAAATATACTTTAATCCGTGCTCATCCGAAATCATTGAAATAACCGACTCGTAGCATGCAAACAGTATTAAACCCAATAAAAGGACAGTTGCAAACCATAAGTATTTATCTAGCTAAAGTGAATGCATTTAGCATAACATAACATAATCGCTTGATGTTTACCTTCTGGACATTAAATAAACATTTTATTCTATAAACAAACATTTATTTTTAACGTTCTACTGGAGTTTCGGATCAGAGGATGGATTTCTCATGTTGGTGGCATATGTCTATACCAGTGTGAGCCCCAATAAGTTTTTAATATGAAGAATTTCAGGGGCAAAATGAAAATCAAATATGAGCCCATATGTACACATTGACGTTGCCGCGATTACATTTTTTGTTCAACACGAACAGGCGTTGCAGCCCTCGTCGATTAATCGTAAACATAAAGCGCCCCCTTTTGCTCTTACGATGTAATTGTTGAGAATTGTTGGCTAAAGTTATTTCCAAATCGAAACTCTGCTGGATTTAAAAGTATAGTTAGATATGTAACCACTCTGTTGACAATATTTGTTTAAGCTCAAGTTGTTCACCTGCTTAAATAAAGGGTGATGTTGTGGGTTAAATACGTTCATTTTGTTTTCATCGGAATGTTTTAGTATTTTTTAAGAGCACACGGTATATTATGGTATATTTGTAAGGGTCAGACGGTACAGATAAATCCGCGGTCACACTCTTGGTTGATAATTTTTAAATTTATTTATTAATTTATTGGTTTAAATCAGTTGAATTAATAATTTGTTTGCTGACCAGCGTGGTCGCACGTGGCCACAGCCTATTACGCGCATTATCGGATATCGATATCTGCTGATGGTAATTGGAGAACGTTTTTTCTATTTTATCTCCTCCTTTTCCCACTTCGTTTTGTGCTCGCCTCTCTTTGTGCTCTTCCGCCAGCAGCAGCCAATGCCTATGCCAATAGTAAAGTCTGTGCGTGAAAACATATAAAGACAAAGTAAATGCAATGATAAACGGCGGCCGAAAATGCAGTGGGCCATGTGTGCAATAAAGTAAATTGTTCAGTTTCCAAAACACGAAAATGGTACCCAGACCAGACGCTCCCATTGCCGTGCCGAGCTGGCATATTTTGATACGCGACGCCGTCGACGTTGAGTTATGTCCCGGCCGCGGACTGTGCGCGAGGAATTTACAACAAAAACAAAATGAAAATTGTATTTAAATTGTATGAAACCAATTAGAAAACCGATCTGGAGTACATTTTTAAGCATCGAAAATCATTTTGCAAACCCATGAAAATGTTTTTCTTTGAAGGCCAACTCTAAATGACGTCACAATTGTAACAGAGTGCAACAGACAGACAACAATGACCGATGAGCATAAAAGTACCATTAACAGTAACAGCAGCAACAACTCCAACAACAACAACAACGCCAGAAACGACAGCAGCAGCAACAACAACAACAGCAGCAGCAGCAGCAACAACGAACGCATAATTGCAGAGGCGGCAGCACAGTTTCTACTCAAAAATGGTTTGAACGGCAGCTTTCCACTGCCCCCGCCCCTGCCCGCGAACCTAAGCACGAGCACCAGCACGATAGCAGGCAGGACGCCGACGCCCTCCTCATCATTGTCATCATCATCGTCATCATCAGCATCTGCTCATCCAGCCTCATCAAATGGCTTTTTGCCGCATGTCAGCACGCCCACTACAAAGACAACTAGAAGCAGCAACAGTCCCGGTCGCAGGCCCAGCCACAGCCCAACAAGCAGCAGCTCCTCAGCGATGGCGGCATCTGCTACGGTGGCAGCGACTAGTGCCCTCGTCGGCTCTGGCCCAAAGCCAGTCGATGTAATGGGCGGGGTGCTGGACTACAGTTCCTTAAGCAGTGTGTCGAGTGCCACCGCAGCCGTTGCCGTTGCCGCATCCATGGCGCCCACAGGATCGCTGAAGAGCGGTAAGGGTGCTGGCGGTAGCAGCAGCAGCACCAGCTTTGATATGGGCAGGCATCCGATATCGACGCACAGCAACAACAGCACGGCGGGCTACGGCGGTCGTTTGCAGTTCTTTAAAGGCAAGTTTGAAACACAAACCTAAACCCATTTCCGTCAAGATAAAACAACAACAAAATATCCATCTTCTGCGCAACAGATGGCAAATTCATATTGGAACTGGCACGCTCGAAGGATGGCGATAAGAGCGGATGGGTCTCAGTGACGCGCAAGACATTTCGCCCGCCATCGGCGGCCACCTCGGCCACCGTGACCCCAACGTCTGCAGTGACGACAACGTATCCAAAGAACGAGAACTCCACATCTCTGAGCTGTAAGTATTCGCATCCCCATTTGCTCATTTGACTAACAAATAACTAAACCATGAAGCAAACCGTGAGCATTTCTGAACACAAAATCAATTTGTTTTTCTTTTTTCCAGTTTCGGATGACAATAGCTCGATACAATCATCGCCGTGGCAACGAGATCAGCCCTGGAAACAGTCGAGACCCCGACGCGGCATATCCAAAGAACTGTCGCACTATTACCATCGACCTAGGCATAGTGTCCTTACCAAGGTTGCCCTCCAGACAGCTTCACGCAAGCGACGACGACCACACGAGCCCCTTGCCAAGAGCGAGGATCAGCAGCCAATCTTTGAAACGGTCAAGGCGGAGAATGGCGATGAGACACTGAAGGCCGAAAGCGGAGAAGCTGCTGAAGGTGGCACTGTTAGCGCCACTGCCACGGTCGCTGCAGCGGAAGCTTCTGCAGAAACTGCAATTGAGATTAAAACAGAAAACCCAGAAACGATCAAAGTAGAAACGGAAGAAATGCCCGAAACGAAGTCGAACAAGGCCGAAATCAATGAAAACAGCGGGTCAATAGAGGAAGCCCCTGAGCCGAATACAGAGACAAAAGTAAAAGTCGAGCCAACGATTGAGGCGACTGCCGCTGCGACTGCGGAGAAGATGAACACGAGTGAGGATGAAGATGCCATGTCGGTGACAGTAAATGAACCTCCATTAGAGCCTTCGATAAGCACGAAGACGGTTAACGGCAGCAGCACTGGCAGCGAACTAAATGGCGAACACAAGATGCCGCGAGCAGACAGAAGACTTAAAAAGCCGAAACCGAGAGCCAAGCTCAGCAGCATCATTCAGAAACTTATCGATGGGGTGCCAGCACGTCTAGAGCAATTGTCGAAGACACCAGCGTCGACAGCGGCGGCAGGCACGGCATCAGAGCGCAGCGGTGGCGGAGCCATCGGGAATCTAAGTCACTCACTGACGCACAAGGTAAGTGGGTCCCTGCCCATGTCCCCCACCCAAGTGACTAAAAACTAAAAAACAATCTTCTAGGTTTCGCCACCATCGTCGGCCGCGGCAGCCAGCCGTCTAGTCGAGTACCATCATCAGCATGTCTCGCCCAGGAAGCGCATCCTACGCGAGTTTGAGAAGGTGTCGCTTGAGGACAATGGATGTGTGAACAATGGCAGCGGAAGCGCAGGCAGTAGTAGTGGTGGAGCCGGTGGTAAACGTAGTAGGGCCAAGGCTTCGGCGCCGCCCAGCAAGTCAGCGCCCATGAATCTGGCACCGCCACAGGGAAAGCCCAGCACAAGCACACCAACCACATCGCCAGCCCCGGCGCCCCAGGCATCGCAATCACAGCCCACACGTCTGAACAGCTCATACAGCATACACTCCCTCCTGGGCGGAGGCAGTGGCAGCTCATCGTCCTCCTCCTCGTCATCTTCCAAGAAGACCATCGACCATCCGGCGGCCATTATCAGCAATGTGCATCATCAGCATTCGTTGTACGGCAATTCCGGAAACTATCCACGCTCCCTACTCAGCTCCCCAAAGTCGCCGGACATGAGCGGCAGCAATGGTGGTGGTGGTGGTGGTGCCGCCGGTGGAAAGTCACCCTCACATGCTGCCAGCAAGAAACGCTCGCCTCCGTACACGGCTGGATCGCCGCTGCCCGTGGACTATGGTCAATCCTACTACAGAGATCACTATTCTGGAGCCGTGGGTCGATCCTCAATGTCGTCAGGATCAGCCGTTTCGCCACACATTTCACACGGAGGAGGAAGCTTAGCGTCGCAAGATCTTTCACCGCCCCGTTGCACGACAGCCTCTCCCGCAACCACACCTCGCACTGTTCCCAAGAAGACTGCCTCGATACGCCGCGAGTTTGCCTCGCCAACGGCCAGCAGCAGCAGCTGTCCGTCGCCCGGTGACCGAAGTACATCGCCACCAGATCGGCGGCACATGCATCTGCAGCGTGGCTCACCAGCCTCCGGCTCGCCCTTGCACTACTATATGTATCCACCGCCGCAGGTGAACGGCAATGGATCATCCGGCAGCCCGACAGTGCCTGTGTCATCAGGCAGTAGTGCAGCCGCTGCAGCGGCGGCAGCAGCAGCTGCCGCTGCCGCGTACATTCCCTCGGTGGTGTCGACATCGCTCTACCATCCCTACATATCCACACTGGCGGCCCTGAGACACAACCCGTTGTGGGTGCATCATTACCAGGCGGGAGCCTCGCCGCTAATGCCGCCGCATCCACAAGCCAGCAGCAGTTCGGCTGCTGCTGCAGCAGCGGCCGCAGCCGCGAGACTGTCACCGCCCTCGCCGTATCATCCGTTCGGCTATAATGGCGTCGGGGCAGCCGCTGTTGCGGCTGCAGCAGCTGCCGCCGCGTTTGGACAGCCCGCCCCCAGTCCGCATACACATCCGCACTCGCATCCACATACGCATATGACACATCCCGCGGCACTAACACACCACACGCCTGCACACCTGGCCACGCCAAAACTGACTGATAGTAGTACCGATCTAATGTCTGCAGCGTCCAGTCATCGCACAGCCTCCACTTCGCCGACCAGCTCCAATGCATCCGCCTCCTCGGCGGCCGCCACCGGCGCCGGCTCCTCCTCCGCATTGTTTCATAATAGTAGCCTAAGGAATGAACAAAGTTCAGGTGAGTCTACCTCGCATTTAAATATTCCTCCTTCCTGGCTGACCTAATGTTATTTTGTGCTTCCTGCAGACTTACCACTGAATCTGTCGAAGCACTGAGACACACACACACACACACACGCGCCCCAGCTGCCCCAGTTTATGGGCCAACCATCGAGTTAAGTACATTACCGCACTAGTAGCGCTTAAGATGACATTCAACTACACATACAATTATTTAATAAGCTCGCTGCTAATTTAGTTGTAACCGAATTGTTTTAGCCTAAGCCTAATCTACGAGTAGTTAGGTTCTCGATTTAGGGCAGGAAATTTAAACAAACCGAAAGGAGACGAGATGAGAACAGCGGAGGAGAAGCAAAGAAGAAACGAAGAAGAAATCAAAACAGACTCCGACAAAATGTTTTAAGCCCCTTCAGAAAACTAAAACTATTTATACAATCAGTTGAGAAATGGAACCCTTCGATACACATATATAATATGCAAAGGAATTTTATTCTCTGCCAATTAATAAGTAACAATTAACACATTTTTCTATAGGATGGATGTATAAATTGCACGTCTTAAAGAATCTCAAAAAAAATGAGTTACGTTTTTCATCAAAACATTTCCTTGAAACAGACTGAACCTGAATTTTTTTTAGAAAAAAAAAAGATAAAAACGAAAAGATAGCGTGAAAAATATAAAGAGTTATTTATGGATCGCAGCATCTAACATTTAAAGTGTATTTTACAAAAACCTAAAAGAACAGATTTTTATAAAAAGCGTGTGCCTTTAAAAACGAAATGTAAAGAAATCTAGGGATATATATAACAAAAAAACAAGAAGAGATAAACCCAGGAGACAAATTTACCACAAGACATCTAGACTCCACAGGTGAACTTTAAATCACTTTAGATATGATATTCCAAAAAGCAAGGTCCAAAAGTCCAGAAGCTGACGACGTGCTGTACACAGTAGACCCCATATACTATTGTAATTTAATAATTGAAATTCCACTGGAATAACTTTTTGGATTGATTCTGGCTTTACTCCAGCATCAAGCCAAAGATTTTGATAATCCCCAAAAAGATGATTTTGTTCTTAAGAGGTTCTGTGAGGTGATTCCAACCTGCTGTTGTAGGAGGTGATGTAACCCATTCTATCTTTTGATCACAAACCCGTTCCATTATTCCTCCAATGTACTTTATTAATGGGGCTTAACTTAAACCTCATAATAATGATTTACATTGCAATTCCATTGTTGTATCGTCCCGATTTGTATGGCTCTACTTAGTACAGTTCTTAGTCAACGCTCAGCCCAATCAAAAGCAAATAAAAATGTACAAAAATGCACATATACAACAAAAGAAAATATTTACAAAAAACTGAAAACAGAAAACTGAAAAAATGTATCCTAAAAAAAGTTAAATTAAAGCCGAAATTCGTACAACTGAAACTGATAAGTACTATATTCCTAAATGCAAAAAAGACAAAACAAAAACAAAAACAAAAAAACGAACCGCGGTTTCTCATATTTTCTAAATTATTTATATAAATCAAATGACTATTTATATGTATGTACTGGTACGTGTTTATATGTAGGAAAAAGGAAAATAATTTTAGTTGTATATACAGTATTTTTACACAACAAAAGCAAAACAAAGTAAAAATTTAAAACAAGAAAATATCCAATATATTTAATACACCTATTTTTATAAAGGATTTTAACAATATAACGCTGTATATTTGATATATGTATGTATACAAAGATTACAAATGATTCCATTAGAGGTCAAGCGGAAAGCTAAAAAAAGTATCAACATGTTGCACAATTTGCTGTTAACCTTTTACTAAACGAAACAACAACAACAAAACGAAACAAACAAAAAAATATTAATTTCCATGAAAATTCCATACGGTTTTAACTACCTACTGATTAGCTAATAGCTAGGCGCCTAGGGACTATTACTTTATTTTTACTTTTCTTTGCATCGATCGGTACTGTGTACGACGTATTTTGTTTTATTGAATCCGTAGTGTTAGTAGACTTAACCATCATTAACCATGATGTACATATGCATGTTACTATGTATCCACTGTCCACCAGTGAGCGGAGCGGCATAGCCCGACAATTAGAATGGGAAACAAGCAAGCAAAAGGGTTTTAGATATACATTTGTATTTAATATTACTGCATCCTCTTGATGCTGGTATGTGTGTAAAGTAAAACGGAAACAAAATTAATTTTAAAGAAATATATTTTATATAGGTTTAGATATACATACATCTATGTATGCATATACTTTATGTATACATACATCCAACTGAAACTGAATACTTGATGTCAAATAAAAACCTATACTAAATGTGTGACAAATCATTTATTTCACTTTAAACAGAAGCTCGCGTTCGACTACATTCAGGATTTTAAGAGTATCCAACTCAAGGCATTGAACCCGGCATACGAACTCTTTTAGATGCTTTAAAGTGGAGCAGAAAACCTAAAAATACAGTGATCCCGTTGGCCAGTAAAAAATGATCAATATATGGCTCAAATGATATTGATAATGGAAGCTAGAACAGTCCATACATGTAGCGTTGTTAAAAGTTTCGTCGATGCTCTTCGCCCACGTTCTAGCTTCCATTATCAATATCACTTGAGCCATATATTGATAATTTTTTACTGGCCAACGGGATGTGTATTTTTAGGTTTTCTGCTCCACTTTAAAGCATCTAAAAGAGTTCGTATGCCGGTTTCAATGCCTATCAGCCACAGATGGCTTAGCCCCTTCCGTTTCGTGACAATAGACACACATCGGGTGAGGTGTTCAAGGTCTACCTCATGGATTTTTACTTTTACTCTGTGAGATATGATGTGTCGGCAGGTATCGAATCGACTTAGTAGGGACCAGGCGAAAGCGTGGAGCACGTGGACCAGCCCATTGTCTGCTCGACAGATAACGCTCTCCTAGCTACTTCCGTTCTCTCTCGCTCGCATTAGGGCACTCGCAATTCGGTCCGCCTACCCTTAGTTTGTCCATTATCACACTCACTTTCTTTCGTACCCTCTCAATAATTCGCACTTTTATCGTCATACAAATGTATGACACAATTATGTTTATATCACATCGAACTTGTGATATAAACTAAATCAACAGCCAGTGAAAAAGTTCATTAGCTTAACACATATGTTTGTAAGTGTGTTTATTTATTTCTTCTTTTGATTACAATCTATACGCTCGTTCGTGTATTTATGTGTGTATTCATGTGTGTATAATTCGTTTCATTTAATTATAATTATCCAGCGATTTACAAAATACATTACAAGTACTAGTACATACATAAGACCATAACACTATGAAATGAACAGAAACCAGGAAACAAAGACGCATAAATTTCAGTTTTTCTGCTTGTTGCTGTAAAGGAAACAAATTATGGTACAAGTACATAATATAAATCATCGTATTTTAGGTATAGAAAACAAATTAACGTTAACGTTTTAACTTATGGTGTAAATTTCGCGCTTAATTAAATACATTTAGCATAATAGGATACATTCTTCTGCACGGGTGCACGGTTGCACGGGTTTCGACACACAACAAATTGATGATCCGACAACAAAAACAATACAATAGGGTCCAAAAGGTCAAGGGTCATTGATCAAATATTAAATATATACATATATATTTTATTTTTTTATTTTATATATATTTTTTTTTTCAGGGAAATCGAAGAGACCGTCATTTAAATAAGTAAACAGTACAGTAAACTATATTGGAGCACTTGTGGGAGTGAGTTGTATCAATAGAATAACATATATGTATATATTTATATGGGGGTGTGTGTGTTTTTGTGTGTGTGTGGGTTTTTTGTCGGCCTAACATAGTGAACACATACATATGTAGTTTTGAACTTGGTTTTATGCATTTTATGGATACTCGCCCGCCCAACCACCTGTTGCGGAGGCAGTACCAATGTAAATATAAGCAGAAACAATTCAGAGTGAATCTTTTCATTGCTTCGCTTCTTTTTGGGTGAGAGATAGTGTTTTGTAAACACACAACGATCGTGTAGACGTGCGTTGCTTGTTGCATTTTGTTGATTTGATATACCGACTGTGTCTACTGTCTACTGTTTGTTGTTCTTGGAGAAATTGTGAGAGGCCCAATTGAGGGAAGTTTTCCAGGAGTTCGCCAAAGCTTCGCTGAATTTCGCCCGGAAATGTTCGCGTGCTTTTTCCTCCGTATAGTCCAGCACCTGAAATGTATAAGAATTGTAGACTTGGCGGCTTTCGATCGATTGCCGTTCGATTCGAACTTACCAAAGTTTCGCGTAGATAGTTCAAATCCTTCTCGGAGGACAATTCCGGTAGTCCCGTTGAAATCATCATTGAGAACAGCGATAAGATAAGGCAGCCGTGTTTGCGTAATGTTAAAAATGCCTGCAGTAGATTGGTAGATTAAAAACTATATAGTCCTGCCCTGTCCTATTTGTGATTGAATTTCTCTTACGCGCTCGCACAATTCCTGAAAGTGACAAAACTCTTTCGCCTCGCGATCGTTGCAGCCCTTGTTGATGACGTACACAAAATCGTGGGTGAGCACAAAAGGTACACGCTCCCGGCGCACACCAAACTTCTCCTTAAAGTGTCCCAAGATGTGTCCAAAATCGATGTGAAAGAGCTGAGGATTAAATAATTTAAATTTGTATACAGAACTTGTTTGAATGGATGGACTCACCTGTCCATTCCTCTTGACCATAATGTTGTCTGAGTGACGATCAGCCACGCCCAGTACATAGGTGGCAACACAGTAGCCGGCACAGCTAAGCGTAAATTCATTGATAGCCTTGTTCAGCTTATCGGCGGGCTTGTTGTGCTCCTTGAGCCAACTGTAAAGCGAGCCTTTCTTGAACGGCGATGTGGCCGAGAACATGCCCTTCTCCTTCTGGATATTGGCAATCGTCTCCGCATGCCGCACCACCTCAATCATGCCCAGTCGTTGCTCCATGCTGATGCAGTTGTAGATGTTCATGCGAAAGTCCATGCTGAATAGGAGGGAAACAATTATGTGACAAAGTCCAACAAGGAGAATTTGATGATTACTTACCCGTCTCGTTTCCACAACTTATCCATCACCCGCAGCATCTGCAGTGTGAGCATGTCCTGGCGCAGATCATCGCCATTTTTGAATATTATGTACACATCGTTAGAGTTCAGATCGGCGTTCTCGAACACCACCCACAGCGGGCGCATTTTACTGTCCATCACCTTGCACTGATCGGGCGTGACGCCACTGCAGCGAAAACTTGGATTCAGTGGGTTCTGTATGTTCTGGAAGACGCCTGCGTTCCGCTGATCCCTTAGAAAGTCCTGCAGCATGGTTTTCACCTTCTCCTTGCTGCCCTTCTTGGCTATAACGGAGCCCTGCTTCAGCTTCTCCAGCACCTGCAGCTGTTTCCGCAGCGGCGCCACATGATGCTTGCAGCCCTTCAGATAGACCTCCAGCAGGAGGCCGAAACGCGTTTGCATTGAGGGCGTTTGCATCTCAGATCGCAGATGCCAGAAGAAGTAGTGGCCGATACGCTGATTGCGCAGCGCTCGCTCCAGCAGTAACACAACCAGATCACTCTCCAGATACGATTCGTGCTTGATGGCCTGCACCAGTTGTAGCAGATATAATAGCAGATCATCATCCCTATCAAATGGAATATATAGTAGAGGTATTTCCGATTGAGTAGGAGCTGCCTTACTTGAGAATTTGTAGACACTTGATTGCAAATCGACGCACAGCTGGATCCGGATAGGCATAGTCCAGCAATTCCAGTGATCGCTCTATCGAGATGAGAGGCCATCGCTTGAGGAGGTACCAGATGTCGGCCACATCATCGCGCTCCTTCCAGTACACGCAGTGCAGCAGTATTGGCAGCTGTTCTGGCAATTCGCGCAGAATATCATTCCTAAAAATAATCAAACACATTGAAAACTACAGAATTTCAGAAAGGGTTAAATGTAAATACCTGCGCTCCCATATGGCATTGCGATCCTGGTCCACCATCTCATAGATCTTGTCCAGCCCGGTGTAGTTGGCGATCAACTCCTTGAGGTCTTTCAGAGGCTTCTCGGGCTCCGCCGGCTGCTGTTGCTTCTCGCGGAGGCTGGCCACTGCCCGATCGGCTGCATATTGAAGGACAGTATTCTCGCAGGGATAGCGCACGGACTCGGCGCCACTGCTGTGGAATGTTACGTGCACCAGGGCGCACTCCTCCTTGCGTGGATTCGGTTCGATGGTGCCCAGCGGATGGAACACCTCGTCCGACTGTATATCGTCCGCATATGTCCACGTGTATAGAACCTGTCGGCCAGTTCGCAAATGATCCTTGTAGTCCAAGAGCGTTGTGTTGACCCAGGCCAAATGATTCTTGTTGTATGAAACGTCCTTCTGGGCGTTGTCCTTGTTGTTGGATGACTTCTTGGAGCGCGACAACTTTGTCACCTCAAATATGACGATGCAAAGCCGCGTCATGCGCGGCAGGTTGCGCATCTGTATATCAAAGTCCATGATCTGATCGTTGAAGAGGAACGTGTCCGAGCTGCCATTGGGTGCGTCTATGGACCGCTGCGAGCACAGTTTGTGCTCGCCATGATAGAGGCCCACATCCACGCCCACGCGGAAGGCCCGTGTCTTGTCGTAGTTGACATTGCTGATGCTGTGCAGCGTCAGCTGAAAGTAGTTTCCCAAGTCCCACAGCGACGTGGGTGCCTTGTGGAGCACTACGGGTCGCTCCTTCTTGGGCGCTCGCTTCAGGCCCATGCTCTGCTCGTTGTGGTGATTGATGTAAGACTCGAGGCGGATCACCGACTGCAGCACCACATTGGGCACCGCCGAGTCCGAGAGCGCCTCTTGTATGTAGAGGAACTGTATCAGCGGATGATCCCCGAACAGGTACTCATCGCGACCGCTTACTTTCAGTATATAGTCGCCGGCGCGATCGTTCATCTTCATCTGTGATCGGTTCATCTTCTGCAGCGTGCTCTCGATCAGCGAGAGTGGGGTGTCCTTCTCCATGACAGACAGCGTGAACGTGCTCTGATCGTTCTCGTTCTTGACCACTATCAGAAAGGCGGATGTCGGATGACGCTGACGTATAAGCTCGGGCATATCCGCCGAGCCGGCCAGCCTTAGGGGGTGCTCATAGAGGAGGCGCTGCTGCCACGTGAACTGGGAGCGCTCCACCTCGATGCTCTCGCAGAGGTCTGTCATGCTGCGTCGAAAGTCATCGATCTCGGGCGTGCCTTGGGTCCGGTGATGATCGAATGAGCTGCCAATCATGCCGCTGACCATCTTGGTTAGTTCATAGTCGCTGGAGAAGCTGGTGGCATCGGTGCGGTCGCCCAGGCTGAGTATGCCAAAGTAGGGCTGCACTTCACACAGGCGCTTCGTCTCGTCCGTGTAGGGTTCGATGTTGAACACAGAGATTCCGTAGAACTGATAGTCGCACGCATCCTTGATCATATAGCCCAGGCAGTTCTGCTTTGCCAGCTTAACGACCTCTACCTTGATCTCCCGTATAGTCGTCGACGAGGGAGCCTTCATCATAAGCAGGGTACCATTCGGGATCATGCATATAAGATCGACATAGTCGGGTGGGTCGTTCTTCCACAGATTGATGGAGAATCTCATGTCGGAGAGGTCGTACTCGGTCACGGGCAAACCGCAGCCTGAGCCTGTGTGTGTGTGCTCTACATAGGCCGATTGCCGGTTATCCAGCATTCCGCCAGAATGATGATGATGATTGTGAGAAACGGAGGCGGTGCGGTTCATTGTGCTGCACTGAGTTTCTGGTTCACTTTTGTTTAGTCTCACTCGGGCTTGAGTTTCCCTTCTGGGCTTGTCTTATTCGTCGTTGCATGCAACTGTTAGTTGTGTTGTTGTTTTCGTTCCTGTCGTTATCACCAGACTCGGCCTGTTTGTTGTTTTCAAAGTTTTCCATTTAAATCAACGCCGCAATCTCATTGTAAGTCATGCCGATCTCTGTGAATAATAAATCAGAAGGTGGCGTCGGGTTATTGAAAAGCAGAGGGACATTGTATGTATTGAGTGAAATGGCGATTGCCGGCAATGTTCAATTACGGAAATGACCCGCCCGTCCATTTGATAAGCGCCAGAAGAAACCGCTGAAAATGTTGGGGCCCGATTGGGTTTTTTTGCATTGCACTGAGATCCGGAAACATTCGGTCGTATGCGCTCGCCTTTAACGACCATCGGGATTATCACTTGGATCTACTTTTATGGGACACGCATTAAATTTGAACAAAATTCGGGACATAACTATGCATCTGAACGAAAACTTCTTCGGAACTAAAAGAAAAACGTCTACTTTATATTTAGTATGAATCACACACACAAAGTTATCCGCCAGCGTGAGAGGGAGGGGGTGGTGCGGCGGCGACCTTAAACACAAAAACAAGAATAAACCACAATGGCCATGCTGATGGTGAACATTCAATACACTATTTAGGCAATTGCAGATAAATTAGCTGGGGTCCTTTTCGTGGATTATGAGCAATTGTATTTCCAGTGAGATTTTTAGTGGAAAAATAACTATAGGGCAGAAATATTGAATTCTGGCCTTGGTTTCACCCCCGCCAAATCTACTTCCATCGACAAACAGGTGGATCGAGAGCTCGCGGAAGGGTATCTACAGTTACGCGGCACGGCACCGATGTCTCATCTCTAAGTCGGGATGCCACAAAAAAAACGCACACACACACTCATATGCAAAGGTCCGTGGAAATGGAAATTGCAGCCACCAGGAAAAGCAAACGCCAAGGCATCCAGCACCGCCCTAATTTTCCCCGATACCCCGTTATGCAGATCATTGTTAGTCATTATATTCGACCGCATTTGTTTTTGTTTTTGATGTCTCCATTTTTCGTCTCTCATTCCACATCTTTACCACATTTTTTTATTTTTATTTTTGGGTGTGAGCTTGTTGCAATTGTTGCATTTTACTTGTATTCCGGCACCGGCATCCACACATATCCACGATTGGCCATAATCGGATGAAGTTATGTTTGAAGCACACAATATTTTTAAATTGATTTGGATTTTGATAAAAAAATTGAATATTGTTTGTTTTTATTTGCGATGTCTACTAGGGCTGGGATTTAAATCGATAGCGCTATTGAAACTATCAGAGGATTCCTCCATCGATAGTTTTCCCAACCCTAAAATGCCCGCCAGTGTGTCCCAGGACCCGGAATTTTCCATAAAATATACCGGTTGATCCTCCGAAATACACAAAACAATATACCATATTAAATACCGATATAACATGAATCATGAATAACCCTCCATTAAAATTGTTGAACAGCTTGTTTGCATATTTGTTTACAAGTATTGTTAAAGAATTCTCGCAACTTGCTCTTAACAGCAATCTGTTACAAGTTAACAGTTCATCAGATTGTTTTAACGATATTTAATTGTAATCCAGTAGATATGTTTGAGTTCTCCCATCTCTAGTAAAAAAAGGTAAACAAAGCAAATCGAGCAAAATACACTTAAATAATATAAATGTGTTGTAAAAAATGTTTAAAATTAGTGATAAAAGTGTAAAGTAAAATTGAATAAGCAATGCATTAAATGCAAGCCGTTTGACAACGCGATGAGCGACTCCGATGAAGGTACGATAATATCTCTTGATCTGAGTGAGTCAGAAATAAACGTTTTCCATATTTGATATATGCCCATATAACTCATATGACCGTTATGTGGCAGTGTGCGAGCTTATTGAAAGATATTACTCGCATGAGCTCACAGACGGCCATTCAGTTCCCCCTGCGAAAATGTTATTGGTTTTTCAACAACACGGAAAAGTGTGACCCCCCTCCCCACGCACTCTGCTGCTCTTGATGAAGCGCGCCAAGATGGAAATTTGAAAATGCTTCTCCACACACATACATCTTAGGGCATTCAGCATCACCTTCCATGTGAGCTGTGAGCGCAACTGGTGCGCTTCAACCAATGGTGCATTTGACACCCAAACATATGAGACACCAAACAGCCAATGCCCTAACAACCAAATCAATGACAGACGGGTCGGGACGGTGGTCCTTGACCAGCCGCAACAGTTGCTTTTGCTCGTCTTGCGCAGTGGCAATCCACGGCCATTGGATCAACGACCACGGAATGGCAGCGTGGCGTGGCCCCAGCCATATCAGTGACGGACTTCAATCGATTTTCCAGGGCCGGCCTCAGTTCAGTTTTCATCAGCGCGCTGTTCGGATCGCATTAGTTTGCAGTCTGTCGCCAGCAATTTGCTATTAATTTGTGTGGCTTGGCTGTCGGTCGGGGGCTGGCTGAGAATGATTGCATAATGTCCTGGAAATTTGTGGAGCAGCCCAAGCCGGGCACAGAGACAGCTCTGGAGGCCTGTGACTATTTCGTCGATGAGGTCACATACGTCTCGGGTGGCACAGGAGGGCGCAGACCTGGTAGCGGGGTGTTGGCCTTACAATCCATATGCCAAACTTAAATATGTTTTTGTCTTCTTTTTGTTGGCAGATGCACGGGAGGAGGTGCGCCAGATCAAGCATGGAGAGCTCAGGGCGGCTGTTAGCGAGGGGGATGAGCGCACGGTGCGTGTCCTTTTGTCGGCGCTGGGAACCGAGAGGCAGATTATAGTCAATATGGCACCATCCGGCGCCAACACGCTGCTGTTCACGTGAGTAGAACAACCAGTATCTAGCGCACCCAACTCGAACATCAGTTCATCTTTTTTAGAGCCTGCCAGTCTGGCTATGAGAGCATCACGCAGCGACTGCTGGATGCCGGAGCTGATGGAAGATCCCATGCGGTGACAAAGTACTCACCGCTGTATGCAGCCGTACACAGTGGCCATCTGGGCATTGCCAGACTGATGCTTGACCGATTTCCCGAGCTGATCCAACAGCCGACAGTGGAGCGCTGGCTGCCGCTGCACGCGGCCTGCATCAATGGGCACATCAAGCTGCTGGAGCTGCTGATTGGCTACAAATATCCTGACTACCTCTATCAGACATATCGCGACGAGGAGGGCCAGTGGGAGTGGCGGCTGCCATTCGATGCCAATGCGCATGATGTGACGGGGCAGACGAGTCTCTACATAGCCAGCATTTTGGGCAACAAGCAACTCGTTGGAGTTTTGCTCAAGTGGCAGCTTCACTGCAGACGCACGCTGGGCGACTCTCCCAGTTCTGTGAGCACTCCCATAACGCCCACCCGGAAGCGCATTTCCTTTGGAATCCAGGCCATCATGTCAAAGCTGCATATATCCGGCGAAGCAGAGGCCCTGGAGGAGCAGCCAACGGCAGAGTCCACAGAATCGCAGCGATGTCCCATCAACGTGAATTTGTTGTGCGGTGCTGCGCGAGAGACGGCTCTGCTGGCTGCGGTCCGTGGCGGGCATTTGGATGTGGTGCAGTCGTTGCTGCAGCATGGCGCCAATCCGAACATTGTGGCCAAGCCCGTGGAGGATCAGAACGATCCCAAGTGCAGCGAGGAGATCTACGGACTGAGCAATGTCCCCATTGCTGAGGCCTGCAAGCAGCGCTCCCTGGCCATGCTGGATCTGCTGCTAAAGCACGGGGCGCGGGACGACAATGGCTCAGCCATCAGCATGGCCCTAGCTGGTGGCGACGAGGCGATTCTGAGTCGCTTGCTGGCGCGCCGCGTGCACCCAGACTCGGACTACAAAATCAACAAGAAGGGTCTGCCCACACCCGTGGAGGTGAATGTTTTTCTGCCCTCCACGAGCAACATATCGTACAGCGCCATGTTCCCCAATGTGCCCACCATCATCGACTGGCACAGCCTAAGCTCCAGCATTCAGTTGACAGTCGTGCGTGTGCCTTGGCTCGTCAGTGGAGTGCTACTGCTGAATCCCAAGCTGCAGTCGCATCCCAGCCTCACCGAGGTCTCGCTGACTGCCATCACTCGGATCGACTTCTCTCACAATCTGCTCACGACCATTCCCCAGGAGTTGCTCCATCTGGTTAGCCTCAAGTAAGTGTTAACTGATGCACATTGAACCCCAGTGTAATGCTCTCCCTTTGCAGATATCTAAATGTGGCGCAGAACAAGATCACCGAGCTGCCCGCGCCCATGGGCAAGACGTACAGCTGCCCCGTGCTGGACGAGCTCTTCCTGCAGGACAATCAGCTGACAACGCTGCCAGCTGCCATTTTCCATCTGCCTGCGCTCACCATTTTGGACATCTCGAACAATAAGCTGCAGGAGCTGCCATTCGATCTGTGGCGTGCTCCCAAGCTGCGCGAACTGAATGTGGCCTTCAATCTGCTCAAGGATCTGCCGGTGCCGCCCATGCAGACGAGCAGCTCTGTCTGGAGCCTGGACAAGCTGCAGCTGCAGTCATTCGATGAACCCGCCTCGAATAAGCCCCGCAATCTGACCCAACAGGAGCTTACACATCGGAATATTTGGTCCGCCTCGCTGGAGATTGCCGATAATGACATGAAGTGGCACCAGGACCAGGAGCTGATGGCTGATGGCAAGGCCCCTGGGGCAGGCGCTTCTCAGTTGAGCAGCCTGAACATAGCCAACAATTTGTTCAACAGCATTCCGGCTGCTCTGCCCTGCCTGGCAGTGAATCTGACCCGTCTGAACATGTCCTACAATAGTCTACGTTCCATGGGTCATGTGACGAGCTATCCGGCCACGCTGAAGCAGTTGGACTTGAGCCACAATGAGATCTCTTGCTGGCCCAGCCTGCCGCGCATAACCGAATCGGATCCGAATCTACTTTGCTACAGCTACGTCCAGGTGCCGGAGGGACAGGAGGAGCCTACCTACAAGTCATCAGCGTCAAAGGGCAGCGCCTCCTCCTTCCGAGCATCGGTGCTGAAGAGCGTCTGTCGGCACAGACGCCATCTACGCTTGGAAGCGCTGCGTACTCTCATCCTGGCGGATAATTTGCTCACCCGAATTCAGCTGTCAACCGACGATGCCACAACCCTGTTTAATGAGAGCGAGGACGCTGACTGGAGTGTGGTGGGGCTGAGCAAGTCCAAGGTGATCTTTCCGAATCTCTCCATGCTGGACATGACCAACAATTGCCTTAAGGAGATCCCGCCATCGCTGCACGAGCTGAGCAGCCTCTCGGTGCTGAATATAAGCGGAAACGTGAACATAACAGAGCTGCCGCCCCATCTCGGACTGCTCTCGAGGCTGTGGAATCTCAACACACGCGGATGCCTGCTGCAGGAGCCATTGCGTTCGATGATCGATAGCAAAAAGCACAAGACAATGGACATTGTGGGCTACCTCAAGTCCATCTATGAGGATGCCCAGCCCTATGCGAGAATGAAACTCATGGTCGTGGGTGTGGCCGGCATAGGCAAGAGTACGCTGCTGGACTTGCTGCGCCAGGGTGTGGGATCGGGTTCCAGCTCCAGCTCACATCGTTCCCGAGCCAGTGAGAATCACTGGGCCAAGCGGATGGGACATGCGCGCAGCTCTTCTCGCTCTCAGCGACATTCCTCTACATCAAACTCAAACATATCCACGGTGGGCGTGGACATTGGCACCTGGATATGTGAGAAGAGGAAGCGTTCGCCCGGCTCTCACGGTCCCGTGGTCTTTCGCACATGGGACTTTGGTGGACAAAAAGAGTACTATGCCACACATCAGTACTTCCTGTCCAAGCGCAGCCTCTATCTCGTGCTGTGGCGCATCAGTGACGGCCACAAGGGTCTGGCCGAGCTGCTCCAATGGCTGGCCAACATACAGGCACGCGCTCCCAACTCTCCCGTCATTATTGTGGGCACCCATTTCGATGCGGTGGGGGAATCCATATCCGCTCAACAAGCGGAGCATCTGCAGCAGCTGATTCGGGAGAAGTTCATCGCGATACCAGATGCAGAAAAGATCGGGCTGCCGCGTGTCATTGACTCCATTGAGATAAGTTGTCGGTGAGTTTCTGATCCACATGCCGCAGAGACATTGAAATACAAAACTTTACTCCTTTCAGCACTTTGCACAACATCCATTTGCTGGCCAACATTATCTACGACACTTCGATGCAGCTGCGCTCGCCCGGCTCAAAGGAACCGATGCTGCTGCAGAAGATTCCCGCCAGTTATATTGCCCTCGAGGATATT